TTTTCTTTGATATGATTCAACAAACTATGCTGATTACATCTGCTTTTTTCTTTCTATTTGGGTCCTCTGAACCCTGCGTGACCAAAATGCATGTGACAACCTCACCTGAACGCAACACTGCACGTTCTGGTGAGCTAGTTTAATAGATCATTGCCTCTGAAACAGGGGCTCGCTCTTCCTCACTCCTCCCCCTCTCCAGCTTTGCTGCGCCCCCACTGCAGGACGCTTTCTCCTCCTTCTGTCCTCCTCCCCCCACCAACTCACGGGAGCAAGCACCAGGGAAGGGTGAACACTTGGCTTCCCCCTGTTGACTGGGTGAGCCATGAGTCTCAATCGACACATAACGCGCATCTCAAACCACTCTTAGCTCGGCTTAAACTCGAGAGATCACAGGGAAACTGGGATTCTTCATACTCTTTTGCTTTTAGATTTTTGTGTATCTTTGCAGTACCTCCATTTTGGAGGCCCATGCCTCTGACCTGCAGCCATGAGGGTTTTCTTTCAGTTGAAAGCTGGAACTGAAAACTTGTGTAATCACATGCATCCAAGAACGTGTTGTAAAAAGAATATCAAATGTACTGCCACTAGCAATATGGTTGTGAAATCTGCAGCACTGGAACTGCCAATGCTAAACTAAGGAGCAGATAACATCCTGGTCCTGCTTATCTTCTCCCTTTGATTTTTTACTCTGTCACTCCACTGGTTTTAGAAGAATTCAACTTTTCCCTGAAGTGCACCAGTGTAAGGAAGAGGAGAAACAGCTGTTAAAAGTTTAATGTTTTAAGAAAGCTATAGCTTCAGGCTATTTCAAATGCTCGGATGCTTCAGTTTTTTGTAAAGTCTGGCACTTGATGAAGATGAAGTTATTTTGCCACTGATAAAACCGCACTGTTACTGAGAGATTGCAGTAATATCTTACAAATCGCCAAGCGTGTTGTTATCCCCTCTAACACAGAGCAGAGCGAACAGAACAAAGCAGGTACCAACCCTTCGCTCGCTCCACGGTAACTTCCTACCACGCAGCTGTGGCTGGAGCGGGCTGGCTCTGCAACCCTACAGCCGCTCGGCAAACAGCCTGCAGGGATAAAACATTACCGCTTCGCTCCTCACGCAAAGCCAGAAAGATGAGACCTGGCAGAGGACAAGCACAAACACCAGGCGATCGTCCCACGGCCAGAACTGGTTGTAGAGCTGCTGCTTTGGGAAACGGGAATTCAGAGCAGGAGGCCACGCTGTGACACCCTGCACGGCCTCTGTCCCCCTCTGGGACACAGCCCCACGGCGCTGTGCCAAGTCCCAGGTTGGGCGAAGGATACCCATAGTAAGAACCCTCCTTTCACTCCGTCTGCCCCAGGAGTTTGCTTGTAATATGAACAAAAGTCTACATGACTGTCCTCCTGTTACACAGATCTAAGAAAAACACAAGATGCTCTAGAAGGAAATAAGCTGAGGTATTTTGTTAGGAAAGCACATAATTTTGGATAACACACAGATTTGGAATGGAGTCCTCTACAAAATACAAGGCATAATATTAAAAAGGGCCAGAGAAACTGTATCCTGTTCCCGGTGTTGGCACCATTCACTGTGTGACTTCTGGCAAGTGGCTTCTGGACAGAGCTGAGAATATATTGGAATTTTTAGTTAACTGATCAAACAAAACGAACCTAAAGGTGTTTTCATTTCAGAGCAACCAAAATGCAGATTTTCAATCAACTCATCAAATTGAAAAACCCAGAGCATTGGAAAGTGTTGCTTTGGAGACTTTCAGGCTTTGTTGAGCCTTGAAAAAATGGCCATTTTGAAATGCAAATGTCTTTTCAAAATGAAAGATTAAAAGCTGCTCCTCATTCTTGATTTAAATCTTGAGAATTTGATCCATATTAACAACTCAGCAAAAAAAAATCTGCTCACCAATCTCTCGCTTTGCCATGAGGTGAGTAGGAGGTTTACCATCTACTTCAATGGTCGAACTTTCTTACAGCACTCCAAAATTCTCACCTTAGCTTGTCTGTGTTTCTGTGAAACAGAGCTTATAACATGCCTCCATTTTTTGGCATGGTTACTCTGTCATGGTGGACCAAATAAATTCAGATAATCATTTTTCAATAAGAATATTGTTTCAATGGACTAGATTTTGTCCTGACTTATTCAGCCAAGTTCAAGTAGATGCAGTTTGGCAGAAAACAAGTCAGTGCAGAATGTGGTCCAGCTCTTTGAAGTCTCAGATGAAAGAAATGAGTAATAAATGCGGCCCCTGAAACTAAAAGAAGAATGAGGTATCCTCAATTCTGCAAGGAAAATGAACTTAAACACATCATTAACCTACACCAAAAAAAATAGGAATAAAAACTAAGCCACAAAGATGTAATCAATCTGTTAGATGCTACCTGACAGATGCATTGAAAAACAGCAACAGTAAAGACACAAAGAAATGTAATCTTAATCTTTATATTTCAATGGGCATTTTAAGCAGACTTTTTCTTCCATTTTATATTCACTACTCTAATGCCCAGAGAACAGAAACTCTAATTACTGTTGCATGCTGAAGGCTGGCCAGTAATTATATATCTTTATCTTCATTAGATAGGATGTCTGTGAATGAGGCTTCGTCTGAAACAGAGCAGGTAAACTGGAAACTCGGAGACACGTTTTCAATTAAGAGCTCACTTTAAACTGGTGACCCATTTTAATGCCGCTGAAACCTGCCTTCCTGCTGTGGAGGAGTGAACTATCAGGGGATGTTTGCAGAAGCCCTGAATGTCTTGATCTCTGACTAGTGGTTTCCTGTCTTGCCATAGGGCCTATCATTAGCATCACTGTGCATCGGTATATATATGGATAATAGTAAGCACACGAGCCTTTATTGGTATATTCGTGTACTTACAATTAATGACAGATATACACTTACGCAGTGCTACCAATTTAACCTCTCTGTCAGGGTTAGAGCTGAGCATATTGTATACCACAAGCTGTTGCAGATTTATATCAGATAAAACCATTACACAAATATCCAATGAACACGTGAAATCATTCTGATGAACTAAAACTTCAGAAAACAAAACTGATTTTTAAAATATCTTCCGAATTATATATTTGCTTTCAAATTCTTTTTTCCAGTCCTCTGAAAAAAATAAAAAGTTAATGAGTGAAGACTTAGTCCATTAACTTCCATGACACAAGAAAAGGATCCCAAATAATTTCTTTCTGTTTTTAACCCTAGACTCAGTCCAACAGTTTGCCATATTTAGCAGATTTACCAGATTCAAAGGGCTTCACAGAAGCCAAAAAAAAAAGGCTCTATTAAGATGGCCAGAAAGACATATTTAATCAGAAAATATCAACATCATGGCTATTCAGACAAATAGAAATCCTGAGTAGATGCTAAAAGGGAAACATAAGAAACGCTAGACTTCAAAATTGCTTGGGTTCATCTTGTTTATAAGAAATTATCGTGAAGAAATTACTTAAAACAAGTCCAATATGTGTAAAAATTGCAACTTTTTGACAAAAAAAAATTAAATCTGTTTAGAGATAGCTCACGAAAGATGATTTAAACCTACACTGAGGTTTATTCTTCAATTACCCTGCTCCAAGTTGTCGCTCCAGCTGTGACATGAAGTTACTAAACTTGTAGGCATGTCTGAAACTCCCAGCAGTTTCCCGTATGACCGTAACAACCAAGTACCTACACTCACCTTTGCCTATAAAGGCAAAAAATGTCCACTAGGAAGAGTCTTTTCCAGCTAATGGGGCCCAGGGAGGCTAGCTTTGGAGCTAAACACTACCCTCAGCTGTTTGAATAGAAATTAAGATGAACTAACATAACAGGGAGAAAGCTTAGCATTCCCGTCAGCTTTAAGCTAAGGCAAATTTCACAAAGGCCAAGTCCTCAATATGGTGCAGTTCACAAAAGTTAATGGGATAACAGTGATTTCCAGCAGCTGGAGGGGTGGCCCGTACTATTTGTAATCGTTTTGTGACATGCTGGTTATGTTAAAAAAAAATTCAATTTTAACTTTTATTTGTAGCCGTGTCTCTTGTTTCCTCTTCTAAAGTGAAAGCCACAGATGAGTTTGTGAAAAGATAAAAGCTGCTGTAGACAAGCCAACGTTTCTGTCAGCATGCTGAAATACTTTCCACAGTCTCCCACAATCACCACTGCTGACCATGTCCTTCCACTACCATTCATGTGTGTTAACCGCTAATCAAGCTGAGTAGGAATATGCAGGATTCTTACAAGCTTTTAGTATTATTGGCACAAGCCGAAAGCCTTCAAGAAGCAGAAATTTTCTTGAGGGTCCAGTCTGACTCTAAGATTTCAGTAATAAAAAGGCTCTTAAAGGCATCCATGCAAGCTCTCTCCTCACCACTGGCTAGGTGACACTGTGCGGCAAAACTAATTGTAGCGGTGTATTATTGCCTGCCATTTATGTTTCAAGGAAGTTTAGGCTATAGAGCTGTTGTACAGAGTAAATCCACTGGTCAAGTGTCTTATCCAGTAGTTCCCAGTTCATGATTGGTGGCCAACATGTTACCTTCCTTCCTTCCTAGTAGCAATTGTGAGCAAAGAAAATTCCAAATTTAAAGCTAATATTGTTTGCAATACACTACTGGCTCAGTACCAAGAAGAGACCCAAGCTTTGAGTCACACAGCTCCTGTTCCAATGTGGCAAACCAACTTCAGAGGAATTACTTCCTTCTCTAGAACATCAGCTGACGGCATTCATGAACCTACACAGCCCATATAGCTGAAAAGTAAAAGGCAAAGGCAGAGTGAACTCCGAAAATACTTCAAAAGTGGGAAGTAACAGACAATTCCAAGTATTCGATGTGAAGGACAGAAAATGTGCAATTTTGTGTTTGTTTTATTGCTCCACTGAACCAATCTATATGTAACAGCAATAATAAACCTTTGTCTTCCAGCAGCAGAACAGTTAGGAGTGTGAAAGAACTTGTCACAATAGAGAACACCACTGTGTAATGGAGCAATATGATCCTACCTTAATGACATCTTCATCTGAAGATCTGCACTCCACAGATTCCAGAAGATCAGTCACAGTCCCATCGTCTTCCACAGAGATCACTTTGACAGGGACAGCCACTGTTTTCCCAGTAAGAATAGCTGTATTCAGGATCTCTGCTTCCTAAGAGACCAAAAAAAAGTCCTTTAATATATTTTGCTATTAATTCATTAGTACCACCTAGATTCAGCTTTACTTTAATTTCTAATGGCTATGCCAAGAACTGTTCCGAGTACAGCAGGCAGGAAAGACAAATTTCCTCCCTTCAATCCTGGAACCAAACTCCCAGTTCTGATTCAGATATTTGTCATACCCTAATTGCTATTTCATGAATGCTCATCAAGTGTCAGAGCAACCTAACACCCGAGGAATGACCCTGCACCACATAAACAAGATGTGCCTTGCATCTAGCAACAGTGAAATCTCCATCCTGAGGAGCTCACCAATGATCTTGCTGATCACATAAAAGTAATGTCTTAAGTCTTGTTGTTCTACCCAAAAGCTGTTTTCTGAAATGTTTTCTACAAAGACTGAAATTCTATGACACTATTGGACAAATACTGTCAACGTTTAGACAAAAGACATACTGAATAATTGTTAAGGAACAAGTTTGGCTTGAGGACAGTCAGAAATCCACTTTGTCCCAAATCCCCTGGATGATAACAAGTCCCTGCAGTGTAGGGTGGTGCCTTCTGCAATACAAACGCTTTCTAACTTCCAGCCTGTGGACTTCCTGCACAGGGACAATAGCTGCTCCAAAAGCCAGTTAGAAATGGCACATGAAACCATCTGGCACGCCAGGTGTGCTCTAGCACAGTCTCTGACCGCACGTTTGGTGGGACACTCAGGCTGGCCATGTGTATGGAAGCAACTCCAGTCTTACAGGCAGGCTCTAGGTTGCTCTTTGGGATGCAATGTTGGCCGATTCAACTTAAATCTACCAATTCACAGCCTCTAAAAGGGGCTAGTGGCACTGTCTGTCATGGCAGATAAGACCTGGTTTCCCCTGCTCTGCCTCCTAGGGAATTAGTTTAAGAGTGCCACCATTCTGGTCCTGCATAATAACTACGCGTACCACAGGACTGTGGTGAATCAGACCCTCGTCAGGTTTTGTAGGACTTATTCTGGCTCTTGTTGGGTAATGGTGGGCAAGCACTTATTCACAATTGTTTCTTTATCTCTTCATGAGGTTCCCAAAAAGGAAGGATACTGAGAAGGGCCTGGTCTCTTTAAACAAAATGAACTCTGCAGCGACCTGTGCCTCTGGTATGTCATTGTTGTGATGACGATTATTGCAAAATGCATTCCTTCTGTTTGTTTTATCACTTCTAATTTAAAAGCGCTGAGTTCTGATTATATGAAGAGCACGAGACTAAACAGCACTCTGGGTTACCTGGGTGTCACACCAGTCTCGCACAGCAGGTATCACCGACGTGCCAAGATACACAGAGAGCGCAAATTGGTGCCTGAATTCTTCCGCTCCTCATTGCAAGACTTTGCTCATTCCTGGAAAGGCCTCAGAGCTTTTCAGAACTGTGCCTGCGAATCACAGACTATCCCGTAGAACAAGAGGCTCTTGATTTTAGCTGGCTCTTGTGAAATAAAAGCTTCCAAAGCCCCCCAAGTGCTAACTTCTCATTATCTAAATAGCTCACGCTATGAGCTCTGAGATTGACCTGATTTTACTTGTGGAAGACAACAAAGTGGGAGATTGAAACCAAGTTACCAGAAGATGATGACTCCCCCTACTGCCTCTTGGGCTAAAGAGGAGAAGCAGGGATTTCTCTCATCTAAAGGATACGGATCAAAAAGACCTTTTCCTGTTACTTAAAGAAACAGAGACACTTTATTCAGACTCAAAGCAATATTTAAAGAAAGAAAGAAAGAAAAAACCTCCTGGTCTTTTGATAGCTGCTTTGCTAAAGTTTCCCCATCCTCACCGTGATCTTTAGGGGAGGGTGAAATAGGATTTCACAAAAAGAGAACTTAAGAAGAAAATCCTCTCCCTCCCTCAGCACAAAAGCCCTTCAGATATTTTGAAATTATAATTCACACAAAGGTGAGAATATCTGCCTGTACCGTAAGGCCCTTCTGTCTTGAGTGCACATTTGTTCTCAGCAGAGAATATATTATTCAAGCAACTGAGATCTCAGTAAGATTTGCAATTAAGTTTCCAGGTTCTTTTATTTTTTCCACATCTGGGCTTTGCAGCAAAGTTACTGCATGCAGGTTATTTAGATACGTTTGCCACTCTCCTGTAGGCTCCACAGAGCTGCAAATGGGGGCAGCTTGACAGAACAAGTGCTATTAAGCACCCACGATAATTACAGAACCCAGGCATCAGGGCCTGGTTTTGCAAACACTTGGGCATGAATCTCATTTCATTGGGACTATTGGAGGCCGTACCCCGTGCCTAGCT